AGATAGATAGATAGATAGATAGATAGATAGATAGATAGATAGATAGAGATAGATAGATAGAGATAGGTAGATAGATAGATATAGATACATAGGGATAGATAGACAGACAGACAGACAGACGAGACTGGACTGTCATCTGTAAGAAGTGGGGTAGGGTCTCCAGGATTGCAAGTTGGTCGTTGTCGTTGTCAGTTGTTGTTTCCATGAGAAACGAGTCTATTTCCACCTCCCCCTTCTAGAATCATCCCGGACGTGTCTGATCTGAAGATAAAGCGAGACAAAATTTCCCGGCAAGATGTGAGCTTTATGAAGAAGGTAAACGCCCACTTTTAAGAGACTTCCGTTCAAATTCAGACCAGCGCAGGGATCTCCAAGCGTGGCCCCTTTAAGACTCGTGGACTTCAACTCCCAGAATCCCCCAGACAGCGAAGTCCACAAGCCTTAAAGGGGCCACGCTTGGAGATCTAGCCGATTAAGCCTCGCATGTCAAATTGTGTCAGGTGGCAGGAAGTGGAGGATGGGCCTTTCCTGCCATGGCTCCTCTGGGTGGAATATTCTCCCTTCTGGGCACTTTGTGACGCTTAAAAGGCCTGGCTCTGCTTCCCAAGCCCTGGGGCCCCTAAATGCATTTGGGCCCTGTTGCCTGGCTTCACCGCTACCTGGACAAATTATCTTGGCTGCTGTGTATATTTATTTGGGATATTTTTTTTAAATTGTTTTTCAATGCTTTTTATTGCTTTCATTGTTTTTATACTTTGGGAATTGTAAGCTGCCCAGAGTGATTGATTAAGGTGGGCAGCTGTAGAAAAGGGAGGGAGGGAAGAAAGAAGGAAGGGAGGGAGGAAGGGGGGAAGGGAGAGAGGGAAGGAGGATGGAAGGAAGAAGGGGTGGGAGGGAGGGAGGGAGGGAGAAAAGGAGGGAGAAATAGAGTCAGAGTGGGAAGGAGAGAAGAAGCGGGGGAGAAGGAAAAAAGGATAGGAGGGAGGAATGGAGGGAGGGAGGTAGAAGGAAAGGAGGAGGGAGGGAAGAAAGTAAAGAGGGAGAGAGAACAGGTAGAGGAATGGAGAGAGGGAGGTAGAAGGAAAGAAGGAA